TTCCCCGTCGCCAAATTGTTATGTACTAGTTTCCCCGTCGCCAAATTGTTATGTACTCGTCGCTGAATTATTGTTATGGACTGGTCGAGAAACTAATAGTCCTGACGCGAGAAGGCGGAAATCAGAAGACCACTAGGTTTGCGATGATACTTCTATTGTCCAAACACAAGGAGACGAAAATAAATGGTCTCACACCAAAGTGGTAAGCAAGTCAAGTAGTTGTAAAGTAAAGTAGTTCACACAAATTGTGAATGCGAATATATATAAATAATTCAGACAAGCGTGGGAAAAATCATTAGACAGTCTTAACATGAATGGCTAATTATAATGGAGTGTCGATCCAATTATACATAGCGAATATAGCAGACATGCCAACAAACATATATGGATATATGTCACCAAGCAACGGACTGTCAACAAACACTCATATTATATATAATATAATATAAGGAGAATACACATTATTAAAGGAGACAAGTCCATACAAGTGAAGTGGTCACAGACTAACCGAGCAAACAGAAAAAGAGACCAACATACACACACACATAAATATATATGTGAATACATATCACAACAACAGACAACAATCAGTATATATGGGAGGAACCTGAAAGAAACAACTTCCTTTACCTACCGACCTAGGAAGCATCGTTTCAACTACAGGCGGAACTGATGAGGATATCAAGGCGAGGATCAGAAAAGCAAGACAAGCTTTCATTACTCTCAAGTCTGTGTGGAGGTCAACAGCACTCAGAATCAAAAATAAGATCCGAATTTTCAGCTTCAATGTAAAGTCAGTGTTTCTATACGGATCAGAGACTTGGCGCGTTATATAGAGCATCTCAAACAAACTACAGACCTTTATTAACAGTTGTCTTCGGTCAATACTCAAGATCAGATGGCCAGCCAGAAAAGATCAGCAACAGGGATTTCTGGGAGCGAACCAACCAACCTGGAACCGATTGTGCAACAAATAAGCAGGAAGAAATGGAGATGGATTGGCCATACTCTGAGGAAACCACCAAGTGACATCGCTAGACAAGCCCTAGAGTGGAACCCGACAGAATGGGAAGCGGTGAGTTGGTCATGTGAAGAGAAGATGAAAACATGTAGGCAGACTTGTAGCCAGGCGGAAACTTTAGCAGACAACCGAATGCAATGGAGACTTGGGCGGCTGAAGCCCTATTTTCCTTTAGGAATTAAAGGAAATAATAAATAATAATAATAATAAATTCAAATAAATGGCCACAAAGAGATGACAGAATAATCTTCAGCAAGAAAACAACCAATCAGAAGACGCTGTTTTTCTGCTAAAAATAACCTATAATAATGTACATAAAAATATCATAAATATTTATTGATTTTCTCAATAAACGATCCATTGCCTGACCCTTGTCTCCTGTCGTTACACTACTACTACAACAACTACAGAACCACAGGTACACTTATGTCATACACAAGAATAACCGTATATGATTAGAATGCTCCATTAGCCATCACATGAATATGAATGCTCAATCATAAAGCTGAAAAGACGTGCACATATGACTCATTCGATCATGTTTATGTTAAATGTCTGTCTAAACAATCACAAGTAAGCACACACACACACACACTATGTGTAAGCATGCTTCATTCTTTATGTGAATTACGTTGTTGTTGTTGTTTTTTCATTGCATAATGTGATACCCAAAATCACATGTTTTTAAATGATGCAGTTCGAAATCATAGACGAAACGGAAGTTTTGCATGTAGAATGAAAAGATATTTTTGACTGGACACTAGTCAGTAAACTAGTGTAGCGTGTGTGTGTGTGTGTGTTTAGGTCTAGTCCTATCTTTGGTGCAGACTGAATTCTATCAGTCAGATTTGCAATGTGGCCACCACTATGCGACTAGGTGGCTCGCCATCACGGTGCCCTGTGAATAGCTGGTATTAAATGGTTGGAAGCAATCGGTCACAGTGCTAGTTAGCACTCACCAGTCAGCAAGGCGTATCTACAACCTCGAAGGAACTCATATCCCTTCTGAGATTCGAACCCGCATCACCCAGTGCTGCAGTCAGAGACGTTACCACTGAGCTGTTCAAGCTCGCGATTGACCTCCTGTAGGAATATATTTGATATTTTTTATTGGAAACTAGTCAGTAACTAGAATGAAAAGATGATAAGCCATACTGTCTGTCTGTCTGGATTCAACATAGAACTTAGCACTGAAGTGCAGCAGTTCGAGTTGCCACATTCCAAATAGCACACAAAAGTAGACAAGAAGATGAGTGAAGAGAATCAATACAGTCTGACAAGTATAAGAGTGAAACAGAATGGGCAATGGTAACAAAGAATATGAAAGATTACAGAGAATGAATACATCTGCGCTGGCCATTGACAACGATTTTGAGCCATGTCACCTATTGTCTCCAGCCATTGATTCCTAGAGTCAGTCCCGAGGGCCCCAACCCGGAAGTCTGCATCTCCCTACCTGACTCAGTTTAACTGTCAAGGATTTCATGGATTGATGAGGCCATGTTTTTGTTTTGGTCACCACTTAGTCTTTTCCAACCTGATCCTAGGTCAGTTAAGATTGCCCGTCGACGAAGGCGAATACTAGGCATGCGTAACACATGGCCTAACCATCTCAATCGATCTAACTTCATAGTGTCGTCGATTGATTTCCCCTCCTCCTTACCTAGCACTCGACAGACGCCTAACCTCAATATTGCTCACCTTATTATACTACTTCACACGGGAGATAGAAAGCAGATGTATGATCAAAGATAGCTGACTTTTACGTGTCTTCCACTTTCAATGGCCATATCCCGCAGCCATAAAAGAGGACAGAGCGAATTGCTGAACAGTATATACGCCTTTTCTACCAAACTGGGTGTCAAGACAAGAACTCGCCGATGACACTAGCTGACGGTCGCGCTATTATTTATCGCAAAATGACAGAAGTTAGAACTCATGGACCACTTAGATTCCGTAACTCTGGCTGAACACTCAAACACCTCGCCTTCTAAACCTAATTTCCTAGTTGGATCATGGGCGTATACTTTTCCTGTTGTTTCATATCCATCCACCCCATACCTCGCCACTGACTGATGAATCACGGAATTTCAAAAGTACAAATTAGCCACTCACTACACACTATACTGGGGAGAAAACTGTCTTTAATCAACAAAGTAGAATGAGTCTTCCTACAAAGCAAACAGGAAACTACATTTCGTGTCCAACTACTCCGAAACACTTTACTATGAGCTAAACTGATTGTGTAACAGTTGTTAATACTACCAAGTTAATCAGGCTGAATTTGGACTCGAAGACAGAAATCTAAGTGTTGAAGTCAATGAACTAGGATCTCCACGTTCACATGGTCCCCAAAACAACTATATACTTAATTTAATTGGTGTATGGTGACTAGCAGTGGAATCCAGGATGCACAAGAAGCCGAAGAATTACTCGACGGGAAAATCTTAAAATTCAATTAAACTATTTACTTAACACTGGTAACTTCATGATAACAAGGAAATTTACTGCAATCCCATAATAATATCGAACGCCATTTTAAACAGCCCAAAGTGTTGGATTAAGCGAACAGACCAATCAGTGTGTTATTATTAATCTTTTGATTAGAATTTAATAACTAAAGGCTTTTCTCATTCTACTGAAAGCTATATTGCTTCAACTCAACTATCCGGAACAAAGTTTTGTGTGTGCCCTTATTGATTTGAGCATAAAACTTGGGCACTCTGGTGGCAGAGTATTACCCCATTATGGATAAGATTTTATTCTGATAAATCATGCAGTGTTACACAGCAAGCAATATTTACTGATGACCACGTTTCCAGCACAAACTATTGCCACTCGTAATCATATCAAGGCACTCACTCACACAACTTTTTACTTCATTTCCATGAAGTGAAGCGGTAGAGCACGTTGATCGCTTCACTTATATGGGAAGTTTTATCAGCCCCAACGGGTTCATCTCTTACGAAATCTCATCACGGATACAGAGAGCTAGTTTCGCATATGCCAGTTTACGCCGTCTCTGGCTTAGTAGACGTGATATCCGGCTGGTTATCGACCAAAGGGCCGGTGTACTGTTCATCAGTCCGCTCCGTCCTCCTTTATGGGTGTCAGCAAGACCTGGCCATTGAGAGTGGAAGACATGAAAAGATTAGCTGTCTTCGATCATAGTTCCTGCGTTCTATCTCCCGTGTGAAGTGGTAGGTGTAATAGGGTGAGCAATATTGAGGTAAGGAGGAGGGTAAATCAGTCGACGAGGCTGTGAAGCTACGTCAAATGAGATGGTTAGGACATGTGTTACGTATGCATGCCTAGTCATCTCCTTCTTCGACAACAGGCAATGTTAGCTGATATAGGGTCAGGCTGGAAACAATTAGTGATATGGCTCAAAATCGTTGTCAATGGCTAGAGCAGATACATTCATTCCTTGTGACTTATGATTTCCAATGAAACTGTTTTGCTCTTCGTTATTACTATTCCTTTGTCTCATATCCCTATCTACTGTGTCTCTATTATGCATTTCTTCTACTTTCTTCTCTTGCTTTGTGTGCTAGATGGAGTGTGGCGACTTGAACTGGTGCACATCGGTGCAAAATTCTATGTCGAGAACAGACTTCATTTCCATGTACCAGTTAAGCTTAAAGTCACATCTATCGCGTATGAGAACTGACGATACACACAACCAGCAGCGGAAGTAGGTTGAGCTGGACTCGAACCCATGACCCATTCACTATCTGAAATCGAATGCATAAGCCAATGAACTACACCTCTACACATACACTGAGTATAGGCTTTCATAAACAGTACGAAACTCCTACGCTACCACTTCGTTTCATTTATTTACACAAAAAAATGGTAATGTTAACGTAAACTACTTTACAACGCTAGGAGGTAGATTTTTCAGGATACTGTCATCCTGAAATATAATCAATCATCACACAGAAAACGATAATGAAGATAGAGAAAAGAAAAACCAGTCGTCTACTAAAATATATATATATTTCAAGATTTCAGTTTTACAGAAATATATGTGTGCACACATATATATGCTTAAGTATATCTCCTCTAGAGTCAGAGACAGAAAAGAAAAACAAATTTTAAACGTGTGTGTTCGTGTGTGCAATATATACATACAGATAAACTGTTAAGAAACTTGATCGCATTGACTAACTACCAAATATAATGTTGACCAGCAAAAAATGAAAGACAACAGGAGCAGTGATACTCAGCAAGAAAAAAATAATAATAATCATCATAATTGGAGAAAAACAAATTTGAGTCTGAAAAATACTCATTGAAATTAAGCTCTTTTCATCAATGTGTGTGTGTGTGTATAAAAGAAGCGCGTCGTAAACACAGTTAACTAATACTCATCTAGTTGGCATTTATTATTATTATTATTGTCGCTTCTTCAACACAATAATGGTCTGGTAAAAAATAGATAATATATATGTACACATATAAACAGGTAATTATCAAAGTGAAACTGCTGAACACTACGAAATTCAGAGGAGGCGGAGATAAAAATAAAGATGAGAAGCCTTTATAGAGTCACCACGGCAACAACAACAAAAAATGTGGAGAATTACGTAATCGTTACCTGATTACAAACGCGTATCGGGTATACATTACATATAAAAATGCACGAGGAGATAAGGGGAAATATTTACAGGTTTATATATATAATTACAATGCACTTCAGTTTTTATAAATGCATCCTCAAAACGAAGCTCTCTTCCTTTGCTTATTCGAAGTTTCACACACTTTAGTAGTCGCATGATTCAAGCTAGAAAGACAAATATTTATCGAATTCGAATCAGTATAATGATCTTTGAAAGATGTCGTCCGCTTGGGTTGTAGGCGTTCAAGATAGGGCATTGGTGTACCCCACCAAGCTGTACATGCATCAGTGAAAACAAATTGTAGGCACATACATTGATTTCGAGTAGGAAAGGAGTAAAGAAAGGCTACTTCACGAAGACTATGCGATGGTTCTAAACACTCACCGTCAAGATATAAGTCGACAATTTGTCTAGCCGGATCAAGTTGATATTTTGATAATAACAAGTGATGAAGATTAGCCACAGTGACAACAGCTGGGCATAAAAGATAAATTGAATTTGTAAATCGAAGTGTTGATGAAGATGATAATGATGACTGGGAGTGACTAGATTCAAGTAGTTGTGAGGCAGTTGTTTTAGCATGATCAGGCTGACTGGGACGTTTATAAATAAAAGATTCGGAGACTTTAGAATAAGAAGGTAGACTTGTTAAATGTGTTAAAGACAAACTGACAAATTCATCATCTTCCAGTAGAAATGCAGCTGAACTTGGTAGACGATTAGAAACAATAGTCCGTGATGTTTGCATTGACGAAACAAGTGCACACGGGGTTTTAGAAAGCGATCGAGTAGCGAGAGCTGTAGGCAGAGGAGCAGGACGAAGACCTACAAAAATAAAAAGTTAATCGAAAGCAACATTCTATAAATTCTGATTAATGTACAAACTAATCAATAAAGTAGATTCTACAATAATCGGGAAAACCACCTTACGGTACAAAATGAAACACACAAGGTTAAGAACTCAAATTAGTATACTCGAAAACCTTACAGACAAAATAATACAGAACCCTGCATACAAATGCAATAATTCGAATTACTATAGCTATTATTACTATTATTGTTTCCTTCAGTTCCTAGAGGGCTTCAGCCGCACGTCTCCGTTGCGTCCGGTCCCCTGTCAACTTTCTCACCTGGCTCCGCATCTGCCTATATGCTTTTATCGTGTGGAAGTTCCATGTCCCTACGCATACTTCTTCTTTCGTCGCAGGCAGACTCATCGAACTGAAATGTCTCTGTAACACTTTTGTTTACAGGGTGGGGGGTTGTTAGCCTCACGCCTGAGGAAGTTGTTACATAGATATGTAAGATACAGAGGAGTAATTTTTGGGCTGCTCCCTTCAGAAATAAAGCAATCAGAACAACAGCAAAATGCCAAACAGTTAGCTATAGGCATTAATAGTCAACAAGATTATATCCACAGAATCAGTGGTCGAAGATAAATGGATTACAATAAATTCTACAAATTCCTGGCAAGAAACACCAGAGAAATGAGAGTTTTATGTAACTAAGTAAATGTAACGCACTAATCCTTCGAATTACTACGCTTTGCAACAATACATAAAAAGATATAAACAGAAGAAAGTAATACGGAGGTGGAATAATCCGATGTTTAATGGAAATGAATAGATTCATATGCGACATCATTTCGAAGGAATGTATTTATGCCAGCTCTCTAGACTGGGTCAGTATTTCTCCATGAGATATGCGATTGGCAGCTTTAACAATTAAATGACTCGTGAAACAAGACAATAAGTGACACAGTATAACTCTTTATTCATCATCCAAATGGCTCCACTTTAAGCCAACTTATTAGGGAAATCAGCAAAAGAGAGTCTGGTGAAGACGTGATAACAGTAATCTCAAGAAAAACTAAGACATACAGAATGATTTTTAGGATTTTGTTAGACGTGAATCATAGAAATATTGATGCTTTGTTACCAACACTGAATCAGCTAGTTTCGCATATGCCAGTTTACGCCGTCTCTGGCTTAGTAGACGCGATATCCGGATGGCTGTTGACCAAAGGGCGGGTGTACTGCTCAGCAGTTCGCTCCGTTCTCCTTTATGGCCGTGAGACCTGACCACTAAGAGTAGAAGACATGAAAAGACTAACTGTCTTTGATCATAGATGCCTGTGTTCTATCTCCCGAGTGAAGTGGTATAATGGGGTGACCAATATTGAGGTTAGACTTCAGTCGAGTGCTATGTACGGAGGAGGGGAAATCAACCGACGAGGCTGTGAAGCTATATCGACTGAGATGGCAAGGACATGTGTTACGTATGCCTTGTCATCGCCTTCCTCGACAACAGGCAATGATAGCTGACATAGGATGGATCAGGTTGGAGAAGAGTCAGCGGTGGTCAAACCACAACATGGCTTCATCATTCAATGAAATCCACAAGAGTTAGTTTAAGCCAGCCAGTCACGTAGGAAGGTGTAGACTTCCTGGTTGGGGTCCTGGGGACGTTAAAAACCAATGGCTGGAAATAATCGGTGATATGGCTCAAAATCGTTGTCAATAGCTGGTGCAGATGTATCCACTCCTTGTGACTTATAATACTCAATGAAATTATATTATTCCTCGTTATTACTGTTCCTTTTGTCTAATATCCCTGTCTACTGTCTCTATTATGCATTTCTTTCTTTTCTTGCTTTGTGTACTACATGGAGTGTGGTGACTTGAAATGCTGTATATCAGTGCAAAGTTCTACGTCCAAAACAGACACAAACAGAACCTTGAATCATATCGTGTAACACACTGAACTATCTTATGTCTAAATAAACTATTATTACACTGAAACCTAGCTGCTTTCCTCTTTATCCAAACTTGAGTAAATCAGTTGCCGTTGGTCAAAGAGTACGATGCAACAAAGTCTGAATGGTACTTATTCGGACCATACCTACATGACAACCGACCAAGTTGAACACCAGAATTGAACACTGAATTATTGACATAGAACTTCGTAATAGTTCAAAGCTACTACATCTCACGAAAGCAGATATAAAGTTAAAAAAGAGCAATGCAATGAAACCACGATGTACCGAAAGAAGAATAATCACTCAAATAATACTAAGTCGGTGGATTTAATCGATTATCACAACGAAGAACCAAACATAATATTGTGAAATTACATTTGGAAATTGGCAGTTGCTTTCCTTTTACCAATTATCGACCCTGACCATCTTTTAATGGTCTTATACAGTTCAAACTAGCAGTCGAAGACTTTAGTGATTGGTGACATTTTGAGTTTACCACTCCTACAACTTGTTCCTAACTTTGTCCTTCATTAGGCGAAAACATTGGTTAGTTTAGACACTTGCTCGTCTTGTGTAATGCATGTTACATCCGAGTCAGTAGACGCTGAGTACATCACCGATTGGTTTACCTCCATCATTCAACACGTCATTATTATTTACTATGCTGCCATAACTGATGCAACTAACAAAACAAAGACAATTATGATGAATGACCACCAAACAGATATGTCATCAGCTACCAGTAGACCAGAACTAGTGAAACTTGCGGATCAAAGACAGCTAATCTTTTCATGTCTTCCACTCTCAATGCCCAGGTCTCACAGCCATAAAGGACGGAGCGGACTGATGATCATATGCAGACCCTTATCAGTGAATTCACTGACTGCTGGGTAGAATTACACAGAAGTAGTTTACCTGGTAGTAGTGCTACGAATGAATGGCTAGAGGCTATCAGTGAGCAATGGAAGATTTATTCACTTCCTGTTATTATTTACGTACTGAAAACCGCCAGCAGCTAACTATTCTCTATCCCGCGCGTTTTTTTAATTGTACTTGCATTACAATCCTTTTTTTAAAACTTTACTTTCGCTTTTACGAGGTGTGACAACTTGAACCTACGTGCTTTGCGCGACGTTCCACGATGATAATTGAATCACAATACTTAGCTAACAAGTTTTGGAATATGGGGAATCAAGACTTTAAATCACAACCTCATAGAGAGTCTGTGTCTCGGAAGACTAGCGGTAAACAAGGAATCCACTGACTTAGATGATGATGACTGGGATACGAAGTACAATAGACAAGCGTATGCCTGAATGTGAAAACTATTCTGGAATGAAATAAAGCTGATCACACGGTTCCCCAACTGCCAGTCTATTAATTCCCACTATCGAATCAGAGATAAAACTGTTACTTCACTGTATTCCAGCAAATCGTGTTACTAATTTTCTCCCTTAAGTATGTATTCCCTCGATGCTAATATGAACAACCATAGTAGTAAGAAGCGAAGCTTACAATAATTCTGAACTAATTCTAGCCTATCCATCGATGTCTCTTTATGGTAAATGAGTAACTAAAATGAACCCACCAGGTGATGAAATAAAGCTGGTCGTTCTTAAAAAGAGCACCAGATGCCTAGTTAATGTGATGACACTTTAAAAAAAGAATCTACAGCTGAAATAATGTCTATAGTGCTGAAATAAAGCTGAAAAATTGCTAATATGCGCTGGAACCACGCTGATAAGTAAACCCAGTAAGTTCCGAGCTACTTCTACAAATCCCTAGAAAAGCACAGGGTGCCGAACCAGTGTTAGCCATGCTGAAAAACAGCATTGAGTTCTAGTCTCTACGTATAATCAAACCATTGCAGGGAAAATTCAGAATTTACTCATTATAGGATGTCTGAGTTATTTCAGAATTAGCGAGACTTAATTCATCAGTATACTAAGCTTGGGATCAATATCTAATACAAAACATGCTAAACGAACGAAAAGTGTATGATATAAAGTAAACCCCACTAGATATCACACTTTCGGAGTGCAAGCAGCCGAAATCAAGTAAACAAAAGTAACGGTGCCATACCTTTAGTGCTTTTTTCTACATAAAATAAAGACACCTAAAACGTGCTTACCTGATGAGGTAGAATAATTAGAAGTACCGCCTGCATTTGCAGTGCCGAACATAACTTCATTGCCAGACAAGATGGTATCGACGCACAAAGAGTCCGTTGAATATAATTCCTTAAATTCTGAAATTCTTTTCATTTCAGTCTTCAGCAAACCCGGAACTAATTTATATACAATGCGTTGTAATGCAACATCTGGACGGAGAGCTTGACCAGGTCTCGTCTCCTGCACTAGGCTTTGGCATAACGGACAAATCTTGTTCTCTGATAAGTACTTAAGAATGCAGCTTCTACAGAACACATGAATGCATTCAGTTAGAACGGTTGCATCTATTAAGTATCCACCGCATAATCCACATATTAGATGTCCATTGATAGAGGAAAGTTTCACTCCTGAATATGAAGTGGTCATTGATTATATAAAATCCCATACACATGTATCCTATACATTAGGAAATAGAACCGAAACATCCAAAATAAATTGAACGTGTTGTGAAAGTCAAATTCAAATCCCCTCTAACTTCAATGTACAATATTCAAGTGACTATTTGTGAAAAGGAACAGAAGCCTTGCCACTAGGCACACTATCTGGTCATGTTCAGTTGTTTGTCTTTGAATCTCAGTTAGCCATCTCGGTTTGACTAAGTCGACGTTGAAATATACGAGGTATTTCGGAGGATTACATAGTTGTTCTTGATTCGTCCTTCATATTTTTCCATCTGTATCGCATAAAGTCCACTAGAATTATGAGGTGTATTATGCATACCATGATCATAAGTGAATTACCCGAATTCTCGGAAGTATAATTTCCTTTGGATAAAAATATTTCACTCGATGCTTAAGCTGGTCGTGCATGACTGTGAAACAGATTACTTTCAGCATTCTGTGTATCTAATAGTGGCAACTTTCAACCATCCCCTAATTTTAAAGCTGGAAACAGATCATTACATTTATTCCGGGTATTCAGGTTCTATGCGCACACCTGTGGAGTACGTAGCAATGTGATTGTGCATTCTTTTGTTAGATATTGAAATTAGCGACATTCTACTAGACTTTTATTCCAAGCGATTCATGTTGGAATATAGATGACTTCCGAGTGCAGTCTAAAACACAGTGTACTGCCGGGCGCTATCTGCGGTAGACACATTCTGAACTGGTAACCCATGACGTGTTGATACGTTGTGGATTCTGGTGTCAGGCATTATTTCTAGAATTTCATCTGCAACCTCATCAGAGCATCTAACTCAACGGATTTGAAGGAGATAGTCGAAATCTGTTGTATATGTTGTTGTAGCTGCTGCAATCACATCTGTTGTAAGACCACTTCGTCAAACCTTAGTGGATTAAACAGTTGACGTATATGCCTGAGAAGCTGAGATGGCGTCCTTGAGCCTAACTCACATGCAATGAGTAACTGCTGGATCCGTTTTTCATCAGACACACTCCTTCTTCGGATCAAAACTGCCTTGAGTTGATCATACTGGTGGTCTGCAGGAGTTATGTCGAATAAATCACTGATGTCTTCGAGAACCTCTATTGGCTGTAACCGCTAAGACACACCCACGCCTTGCAATCTGTGACTTAATACCTCGGGCAGCAAAAAAGGGTTCAATGATGGCTCAGTGAAACCAAGCGGAGGTAGACGGAGGTCAACTATTGCGTTGATTGTTGAATCTTGTGCCTCGTCAGTCTTAGATGCAGCAAGTGAACGTGTGAAGGCATTAATTATTATTATTATTATATCCTTTAATTCCTAGAGGAACATAGCGTTTCAGCTGCGCACCTCCATTGCCTTCGGTTTTCTGCCAACTTTTTCACCCCGCTCCAAGTGTGCCCACATGCTTTCATCTCCCCCTCACATGATCTCCTCCAAGTCACCCTCACACTGACGACCAACTCGCCGCTTCCCTTTCTGTCGGGTTCCACTCGAGGGCTTGTCTAGCGATGTCACTTGCTGATTTCCTCAGAGTATGGCCAATCCATCTCCATTTCTTCATGCAGATTTGTTGCACAATCGGTTCCTGGTTGGTTCCCTCCCAGAAATCCCTGTTGCTGATCTTTCTGGCTGGCCATCTGATCTTGAGTATTGAGCGAAGACAACTGTTAATGAAGTTCTGGAGTTTGTTTGAGGTGCTCTCTATGACTCACCAAGTCTCTGATCCGTATAGAAGCACTGACTTTACATTGAAGTTGAAAATTCGGATCTTATTTTTGATGCTGAGTGCTGTTGACCTCCATACAGACTTGAGAGTGATGAAAGCTTGTCTTGCTTTTCTGATCCTCGCCTTGATATCCTCGTCAGTTCCGCCTGTAGTTGAAACGATGCTTCCCAGATGGGTAAAGGATGTTGCTTCTTTCAGATTTCTCTCATTTATGCTGGCTGATTGTCTTCTGTTGTTGTTGGCCAGGAATCTTCATTACCTCCGTTTTATCTATGTTCACTTGAAGTCCTATCTTCGATGCTTCTTGTGCTAACTTTTTGCTTTTCACTTTTGTATCTTCCAGTTTGTGATAAATCAGACATATTTCATCGGCGAAGTCCAGATCCTCCAAGTTTTTTTGTGTAAGCCCATGCTATGCCTGTTTCCTCATTGCTCGCTGTCTGTCTGTCGCATTATCCAGTCTACTGCAATCAGGAAGATCATTGGCGATAGTAGACAGCCTTGTCTCACTCCCGTCCTCACTTCGAAGGATTCCGTAAGTTTCCCGTTGTGGATTACTTGGCATGCAGCATTGTCGTATAACTGTAGGATGAGATGCATCATTGTCGATGGGACCCAAAATGGCCTCTCGATCGACGCTGTCGAAGGCCTTTTCGAAGTCCATGAAGTTGAGATAGAGAGGTGACTGTCATTCCAAGCTTTGTTCAATAATGATCCGTAGAGTGGGGATTTGGTCAATACATTATTTGTTTCTCCTGAATCCGGCCTGTTCCGGTAGAAGTTTTTCATCTAGGGCTTGCTTGATTCTCTCCAGGATGATGCGGCTTAGTATTTTGCTTGGAATGGACAGGAGCATAATTCCGCGCCAGTTTTTGCATTGACTTAAGCCTCCTTTCTTCGGTAGTTTGAATAAGTATTGTCAATGTAGTTGAAGATTGAACGATCAATTCATGGTCGTTTGCTCATACCCAACTTCCCCAATTTTCACGGAGGCGTCAATCAGCCAGTCATCGTTTCATCGGTCGCTGTTCAGAAAGAAGTCAGGAGACAACCGTCAGAAGTAATATTGTGATTTATTATTGTAATATTTGTTAATAGACCTTAGTTGTAAAGCTTAGTTTAACAATGGCTATATGTTGGTGTTAGAATAAATAATTCTCGAGTCGCCAAACTGGGTTCTGGTTTTTGCGTCCGTTCGTACTAAGCGTTTCTGAGAAGCTTCGAGGAACAGCGTGAGTCCCAGCGTAGCAAGAGCTGGGCATTAACGGTTTACGAGACGTGGCTGACAATTATCCTTTCTTCCAATCCTCATGTACTTTGCCCTCTTTCCACACCTTCTCCAGTAGAGGTGTCGTCAAGTCTGCTGTTGTCTCTTGGTCCATTTTCAATGCTTCTGCTGGGATTCCATCTAGTCCTGCTGCTTTTCCAGCTTTTAGCATCTTGATTGCATTCAGGACTTCTGATTTCTTCGGGGGGTCAATGTTCACTGGTAGTTCTGCTTCCGTTGTTGGTATTGTTGGGCGCGTTGTAGGTGGCGGACGATTTAGAAGTCTTTTGAAGTGTTCAACCCAGTGCTTTCTCTGTTCCACCTCTTTGGTGATTGACTTTCCATTGTCGTCCTTTATTGGCTTAATCTGTGTCGAACGTTTGCCCGAAGGGTGCCTAGTTGTTTGGTAGAGTGTGGCGAGGTCTCCTTTGCCTGCAGCTTGTTCTGCTTCGTTTGCCATGGTTTCATAATATTTTCTTTTGTCTTCCCTGGCACTCTTCTTCACTCTTTTGTTCAGTGTATTGTAGCTTGCATTCAGCTCCTGTTTTTGTTGCTCGTCGTGCACTGGATAATCTTTTGCTTCACTGTCCTTCTCTCTTCTATTAGTTTCCAAGTGTCCGTAGTGAGCCACTGTTTGTCCTGTCTCTTTTTTCTGCCTAGAACGTCTATGCAGGTTTGGCTCCACACCGTTTTCAAGTTGTTCCAGTGCTTTTCGACGCTGACCTTTTCGCTGGTGTTGATTTGTATCTCGGCTTTGTCCTTTATGCTTGCAATGAAGATGTCCTTTGTAGCCTGGTCCTTCAGCTTTTGAGTGTTGAACTTGGCTTGTGGTCTATCTGCAGCTCCTGTTTCCCTGAAAGCTTTTAATTTGATTTGGATTGTCCCTTGTACGAGATAGTGGTCTGAGCCAACGTCTGCTCCTCTTCTTGCTTTTGTGTCCAGTAGGCTGCGCCTCCACTTCCTTGAGATTGAGATGAAGTCAATTTGGTTTTTGGTTTGCCCGTCTGGTGACACCCATGTAGCCTTGTGGATATCTTTGTGCTTGTATACACTGCCACCAATCACTAGTTCGTTGAAGGCGCAGAAGTCGGCGAAGAGTTCTCCATTTTCATTCATTTCTCCGAGAGCTTCTCTACCCATGATGAGTTCCCTTCCTGTGTTGTCTGGTCCCAGTTTGGCGTTCATGTCTCCCATTAGTATTTTCATGTCGCCAGCTGGAGTATTGTCCATTGTTGCCTGTAGTTGTCTGTAGAATTCTTCTTTCTTTTCGAGGTCTGCGTTGTTTGTGGGTGCATAACATTGTATGATTGACACTTTCCTTCCTTTGGAGTTGAATCTGGCGGTCATTATCCTGGACGAGATCGCCTCCCATTGCATCAGGGCCTTTGTTGCCGTTGGTGACATCATGATAGCCACGCCCTCGGTGTGCGTGTGGTTATCTTCTGGGTGACCGGAGTAGATCACTGACTCACCTGTTGACAATTTGGTGAGTCCACTCCCATTCCATCTGCTTTCACATATTCCCAGCACTTGGATTCCGTATCTTTTCATCTCGTTTGCGATCCGGGCAGCTTTCCCAGTCTCGTACATAGTTTTTACGTTCCATGTCCCCACACAGACTTTTTCTTTTGGTGCAAAGTGGTTCATCGTGCTGAAATTTCTGCAGCAATTTTGTTTACAGGGTGGGGTTGCTAGCCTCACGCCTGAGAAAGGAATTGTTACACTGAGATAAAGTTTAAAGAGAAGCGACCTTTTGGGTCGCTCCCCTTCAAACCAGATAACAAGGGATAAAACAATCAGAACAACGCCAGCTAAAGGAAAACAATTCACAGCAAATAGGGCAAAAAGAGACAACAACGGTACAATAAAACAACATGTACTATAGTTCAGCACAGTTAACTAAAATGGTGCCAAAACCTTAGGCTCACTGACTTGGGCAAACTTGAACATATAAATCCAAGAATATATATAATTATAGATATGAGTTGTTGTTAAAAGACACAAATGTCCAAAAACTTTGTTATAGGTATTAGTAGTAAGTGATAGTATATCCAGAGTTTAAGCGTTCGAAAGTTAACGGATTGCATTAATTTCCGGACCTTCGTGGTGAGCAAT